AAGTTTATACTTGAATCATTTGCCTTCTAATTTTAGAAAAATTTGGTAGATGGATGCACTTGGCCAAAATTACGGGAAGGAACATTATTCTTTCTGTGGAATCCGGATTCTAGAGTCTTCTATAATCTGAAACATCTATGCCGTCGGTGATGACGACAACCAGTTGGACAGTCAATGTCATGGATTGATTACGTTCGGGGATAGGATTAGGAACTCCTTACCGTAATTCAATCGGGTTAATGCCACCTATCATCCCTCTACTATCAAAAATAGTTCAATATAAACCTTCTACTTTCAATTCACTTCATGTCCTCCTTCTACTATTGATTAACTACTTATGTTGTCCCCTACTATTGAAAAAGGTATCAATGTCGTCCCTCCGTCCAAGCTCCATCTAATTTTGGAGTAACGGACACTTCACTTAACAGTTAACGTTAACCCATTCAAGTTCTACTGAATGCTAGATGAGAGTGTGTCAATTGAAAATCCCAGAGACGAGCTTCTCCGGCGAGTGCAAGGCCTAGCCCCGCGGGTAGTCTCGTTGGTAGAGTAAGAAATGAACACTAATATTGTGTCGTTCGTGGCACGGGTGGGCGAAGCAATAGCGCACTACGCAGCGGTGCTCGAGTTAATCGACTTGATCATGGCGAGAGAATAATCGGAGAGAGCAAAAAGTAGAGGAGGTAATGAGTTGCAGAATCGCGAACTTGGTTGCGTGCAAGGGTAGGGACCACGTTGAAAGAGGCGAGGTGTTTAGGAAGTGGCGAGCCTGGATGGGCATGGCTGGGTTCGAGTTAAAGCCATTGCATCAAAACGTGGCCGAGTCAATGCGAAGCGGACTCAGCTCCGGCAACCATGAAAATCCAAGTTTAACCGTCAAAAGATGGGTTAAACCTTCATCATCGCATTTGCTTAGTATTAATTGCGCTTTTACTCTCAAAATATTGTCATTAATTAATTGCTACGTTTTGTTTCGTAAGGTTTTCATAAAATTAGATAGGGAAAGCAAGGAAAACCCCATCAAACCAAATAACAAAATAATATTTTTATCCTATGCCTTTTGAGGAAGTATAATTAAGAGTAATTTATTATTATTATTATATATAAATTAATATTAATTTTAATAATATTATTTAATAAATAAATTTAATTAGACAATTGATAAACTAAAATTAATTTTTATTTTTTTATATAAATTTATAATTATATTTAATACATTTCTATCTTATACCTTTAGGATACATATATTACAACAAAAAGAAAACATAAATAACATTTTTATTTTTTATTTTTTTAATATAATTTTCAACCCATAAAATTTTCTTTTTATCTATTTTGAAAGAAAAAAGTCTCTTTATAACTATTCATATATTAGGTTTATTTAACAATTTTTTTTTACTAACTTTTCTTATTTTAATTTCTTACCAAATATAATAAAATTAATAACCCAATAAAATTCTAACAAAATTTCATTATAAACTTAACAATATTTTATAGAATATTTTTTAACTTTCCATAATAAAAAGTTATGTGTGGATTTTGAAAAAAATTTGTGGTGATATATTGTTTCATTTGTAGATAGCTCCATTTTCACATTCAGCAATGTTATAAACTATTATACTTTTTTTTATAATATTTTATACAATATCAAGCACGAATTATTGTGTATATTAAAATTTAAAAATTAATATGTATCAATTTTAATTTACTTTTAAAACCTTCCCCTTAAAAGCAATAACTTTCTTTCCCAATTTATAATAAAAAAATTTCAACAACACATGAAACTTCCTATGTAAATATAAATT